GATCAGGATGGTCTCACGAGGCTACATGTTAACTGGGTGGCAGAGAAATCCTTTTAGTAAACCAAACTGTGGTGAGAAAAGTTTTCTAAGTTGTGAAACAATAATAACAGAAATCAGAGAGTTGATCATAAAAGTCGGTCCTGATTGGGTTAACATGGCCTCTGGTTTTATTGTGTCTTCATAAAAGCTTCATCCTTTAGGTTTATTTCTGCTGGAATATGTGTTTGGTTGAGTGAGCCTAATATTGCAATAGGAGAGTTTAATATGTCCACGGAGGGAAAGCGGTCAGCGTTTTCCTCCTATTCTCAGCCTCTTCTTTCACGTTTTAATGTGCTGCCGTTTGTTTTCTGTCCAAAGAAAAAAAGTCACCGCTGGGAAGGACAACATGACCTGCACAGGAACGGCCAAGAAATATCATCTGTGCAACACCGTAGTGAGTGTCAGACCTCCTCTTCCTCACTTCACTTCAGGTTTCTGATCCAACAAACAGGGCTGCTTCAGTAGAACGGAGTGGGATTCAAACCGTCAACTGTCCCAGAGCAAATGAAAGAGCCAGAGGGCCGGTCCTGGTCTGATAGCAGCACAGCTGGGATCTTCTCCTGGCTTCATTCATCCTGGTCTGCATGGTTCAGCCCAGAGTAAAAACCTGAATCCTTCTCCGTTTCGATTTTTTTCAGTTTTTTCCTTTAAGGTTCATGGAAAGTTTGACAACAAACAACCAGAAACTTTTACCAAGATCTACACCTGAGTCCATGCATTTATTAAAATACAAACAGTTGGGGAAAAAAAGGTTTAAATGACCTAAAATGTTTTAAAAATTAGGAAACTGTGACACATCTTTATCTCTCACACTGCAAAAAATGGAAATCTAAATGAGTCATTTTTGCTTAAATTAATTCATTTTTCTTGAATTCAGGAGGTAAATGAGAAAATTTGCAAATAGAACAAGACAATTTACATTTAAAATGAGAAAAAGACTATTGCTTTGTCTTATTTCAAGTGCATATTATCTAATTATCTTGTTTTAGGTGTAGAAATACTAAATCCATTGGCAAATCAT